TCAGAGACGGGGCGTCGGGGGCCTTGAGCCGCTAGCCGTGGCGGTCAGACCGCAGACCCTGCTTGCTGATGCCTGCAAGGCCACCACGGCTCTCGCCACCACGCTCTCAGCAGCCTCATGCTGTCCCTGAAGACACAGGGACAATCCTCACACCCTGTGTCTGGGTCCTCTGAACAGGGGCCTCTCTGTCCCCGGTCCACGCAGGAGGGAGGCACGAGGCCGGGCAGCACCATCACTCACAGAGGCCGGGCTCAGTGGACAGCCTGGCTGGGACCCTGGACCTCCCTGGAGAGAAGCCACCAGGGAGGTTGCTGTGGCTGCCCAGGTGACTGACAAAGAGGGTCACCTCCCCCAGCTGGGCCCTGCCGGGGCAGGAAGCATCAGAGCCAGGAATCTGTGTACCCCGTGCCTCCTGCCGGCTCTCTCTGTTGGGACCATGCTCTGCGTCCCCGTCCCCAAGGGCAGCAGAGAGGACCTCAGACCCGGCTCCAAGCCCAGGCTGCTTCCCACAGAGCCAATGGCTCCTGTTTGGAGTGTTTAGAAAGGGTCTGCTTCACTCCTGCAGCCCCTTACAGGTAGGCTGGCAAGTGAGAGGCGCAGGCCCATGGGGGTCCTAGAAAGCCCTTTAAGGAGGCTGACACAGGAGTCTCAACCTTTTGTCCACCACTTTCTTCCTGCCTCCTAAATGCATAGGTGTTGGCCGGAGCTCCAGCAACCTTCTTGGAATTCTAAGACAAGCTGGAGGAAGGCTGAGAGAGCAGGGGATGGATGAACAGTCTGTCCGTTGACCTTGCCCTAAGCGTCTCCCTTCCTGTCAGAGAACAGCACATGACGGGGACAGAATCCTTTTTCTGTGTGGGAGATAATAAGTCAGAGTCCTCTGGGGGCCACTGCTGTTTCATAAAGTTTTCTTGTGTCCAGCGGAATGGATAGAAACCTGTGCGTCCTTCTCATGCTCTGTGAACCGTCTGTGCAAGGAGAAGAGCCGAAATAATATGTTTTCTGCCATAGTTTAAATATTCCTATGAAGTTTTTAAAAGCACAGGGTGGAGAGGGGCCAAAGCCTGGCTTTGCAGATTCCTCCATCTCAAAGCCAAAGAGCAGCAGAGAACCGTGTGGAGAAGACCAGCGTCCCCGCTGGGCCATCCCGACCCCGCTGGGCCATCACGCGCACGACAGTAACAGCTATGTTTTCTGAGTCAGAAGGAATCCTCGGCAGCCAGCACCCCACCCACTCCTGCTTCCTGGGGCCCAACTTCCTTCTGATCTGTGGTCGGCGCCTGCAGGGCCCTGTCCCTGCCCCTGACCCACCCTAGACAGGCTGCCTGCCCCGCCCACGGGCAGGGGAGTCCATGCTGGCTCCAGCGCCTCTTGCAGGGACCCCCACCACACCCACCATCAGCCCCCCCCTGCACCCCACCCTCAGGCCGCCTGGAAGCCCAGCTCTCAGAGGGGACACAGCACAGAAGCTTCTGGAAGGGCCTGTGCTACCTTTCGCGGACCCTGGCAGGTGGGGCGTGAGGATCTGGCTCCTGGCCCCTGTGTGGTCCCGAGAGTGGGGTGGATGAAGAAGGCCACAGCCGTGCCCCTGGCTTGGTTTGTCTTCTTCATACCTTTCAGTCCGTCTCCCCGTGACCAGTAAACAGACTGGACGGCCAAGCCAAGCTGGTGCTGCTGGGGACACGGAGCACAGTCCCGCTCTGCCCTGCCCTCGGGCAGGCCCCAGGCCAGCTGTCCAGTCTGCACTGGTCACCCTGGAGCCCCACACGGAGAGGGTGCCAGGGGACCCCGCCCCAGAGCATCTCCAAGGAGCTGTGGCCCTGGCCTCTGAGGTGGGAGGCAGGGGGAACACCCATGTCCCCAGTGCAGGGTATGGCTGCTCACCCGTCCCCTGCCCCACTCTGGACTCCCCCATTACCTGGCCCTGCCCCCCAAAGTAATTCCCCCATGACCTGGCTCCGCTAAACCCCATGAAACCCAGACTCTCACCAAGGCCCCCGCGATGTGCCCCGTGATGTGCCCCGCGATGTGCCCTATGGAGCTGAATAGAGCCTCGCTGCCCAGAATGCATCCCTCCTCCGTCTCCTGTTCCTCCTGTATTCCCTTCCGCAGGCACCAGCATGTGGTTGACCTGGACGAACGGGGAGTTGTTCTTTGAACTCTGATGTTGACCACAGTGACAATGACAATCCCAAGGTTGTGATGACATCGGGGACCCAGGCTGCCCTGGCGAGGACCAGGAGCATTTCCCACTTACCTAAAAATATCCATTCCCAGGCAGGCCTTGTGGCGCACGCCTGTAACAGCGGCTCGGGAGGCTGAGGCAGGAGGACCAAGTTCAGGGCCAGCCTCAGCAACTAGCGAGGCCCTAAGCAGCTCAGAGAAACCCTGTCTCTAAATAATATAGATAGACAGACAGGCTGGGGGCAGGGTCAGTGTTAAATGCCCTGTCCAATCCCTGCTCCCCCACCTCAAAAAAATGTATATATAGTTGCCCTGAGAGCAGAGGTCACGCCGGGCAAGGAGGCCACCAGAGGGACTCAGCCCAGAATCCTTCCTTGGTGGATGCCCACAGGCAGGCGTGCCCAGGTAGCCCCGGTGTCTGGATGCTTCTCTAAGTGAATGGACGTGGCTCTGAGGGTCATGGAGCCCTCTGGCCCCTTCACAGGAGCGCACGAGCCTGGGGCCATCTTCACACTCATGCCACTGTGAGGACGGGGACTCCAAGCACCTGAGGAACCAGCCTGACACAGGGTGCACCGGGCGGGACATAGGGTGGGACAGCAGAAGCCCCTGGGCTGGAGGCACAAAGAGGCCCCTGTATGGGGAGGGTGGAGAAGGGGCAGCGGGGGTCAGGTAGAGGGCTCTGTGCCCACCCCCAGGCACTTCCCGATGGCACTGATCTGTGGGCATTTCCTTTTTGAGATCATGTCCTTCTAAAACACAGGCTCCATTTCTACCATGGAAGTTCCCCTCTTTGTCCTGCCTGCAACCACACTTGGAGTGAACTTTTGGTAGCTGGATCCCCCCCCCCGCCCCGAGCCCCATGCCACCTCGTGAGCAACCCGTGTGCCCTGTGTCTGCGGCATAGCAAGTGACGCTGCCTACTCACAGGAGTGGGAATGTCGGTCACCCCAGGCTGGATCCTGCTGGGTCAGAGGTGGCCCACCTGCATAGTCCCCATCACTGCCAACCACCTGGAGCCCTGGCCCAGCCCTGCTCACGGGGGACTCAGAGATGCACGGGGTCAGAGTGTGGGACCCGCGATGGCCTGGGGCAGCTGCCTCCTGGGTCCCTGCCTGCGCCCACGGCACCTTCCCACACCTTCCCTGGAAGTGCCTCAGGTCCAGGGTGGACCAATCACCAGGACAGACCGACAGACAGACAGGGCCTCCCTGCTGGCCCAGTCCTCAGCCTTGGACAGGCCCTGCCGGCCTGGGCACCGCAGGGCCATTCTTCTCCATGGCTGGGAGCTCAGGCCAGCCCAGGGCCTGAGGCCAGCTCAGCCAGGGCAGCAGGGCTGGGCCATCAGCCTCAGAGCTGCCCTCCAGGGCTCTTGCCAAGCGGCAGCCTCAGGGTGTGGCAGGGCCTGTGACCCAGAGCTGGGACCCCACCCAGCCTTATCTGCCCTCAGAAAACCACCTGGGCCACCAAACAGAACCCAGGGCTGCTCCCCAGGGCTGTGTGCCCCAGGGCTGCTGTGTCCCAGGACTGTCATGTCCCAGGGCTGCTGTGCCCCAAGGCTGCCCGTGCAAAGCCCAGCCCACACCAGGGAAGCCTCCCTCCTGGACCGTGGCCCTCTGACTTGAGGCCCACCTCACCTCCCTCCTACGTGTCACCCATCCAGCTTCGAGGTTCCGGGCCTCACCGACCCTCCTGCCCCACCCCTCAGTTTGTGTGACCCACAGCCAGCCAGTGGCCAGGACGCGGGCGCAGCCTGAGGGCTCATTCATCACTGTTGCTCAGCCACATCCTCAAGGGGGGCCTAGAAGTCACCAGCTCTGGCCACAGGAGGCGACGTTCCCACCTCCACCACCAGACCCCAAGCTGGCGCCTTGCAGCGGAGCCCAGGGCCCCCGAGAGCCCCAGGCCCCCGGCAGCCGTGGCAGCAGTGTCAACCAGGGCCCAGCAGCTGAGCCCTAGAAGCACCCCCAGGTTCAGAAAGTCACTGCTGAGTCATTGTCAACCCAGGAAGCTGCCACTCAGAGCCCAAGGTGGCTCTGAAAAAGCTCCCCGTCATGCCTGCTGGCCCCGGGGCTGCCTCTTAGGCAAATTCGAAAAGTGTTTATCACAAGGTATTTATGACATTTCAACCGTCCCAGTTACAGTAACGGGGTGACATTAAAAGAAGGCTTCCTGGTGTCACTTGGCAGTAAAGCCAGCCGAATAGGGGCTGCTCGCTGTCAGGCCACTCAGCCCCCAGCCCTCCAGGACCCTCGTCCACCCCCGCCCTGGCCCCTCAGCTTCTTTCCTTCCTGATTTTACCAATTTGTGACTCTCAGCATCCAAGGGAAGGAAAGGACATAAAATAAGCCCCTGGACTCATTCATCGGGTCCAGGGAAGGAAGAACAACCTCCACCCTCTTCCTGTGGACACTTTACCGAAGCCGGGCAGCTCTGCCTGGGCTGCAGGGACCAGAGGCCACAGTTTGCTCCAGGGTTCTTTCCTCCAAGCCTGAGAAGCAGAAGCCAACGGCCCAGCTCTGGGGCTTGCACAAAATCCAGACACCTCCACCTCCGAACCTCTGTGCCCTGGGAGCAGCCTGACCGCTCCTCTCCAGCCAAGCACCTCCTCTCGAGTCTCCCTCCAAGACAGCAAGATGCTGTCACAGTGAGCCACCAAACACCTCCTCCAAGAGCCCAGCCCAAACCCAGCAGCCCCAGGCTGGGGGGCAGAGAGCCGCTTCTCCAGACGCACAGACCCTCAACGTCTCCCAAAACCCACGTCCACTCCAGGACGCACCATGAGCAATGAGGATAAATGACAGGCACATACTCACCAGGGAGAAGCTGAGGGCTGTTCCTTCCCGGGGACCAAAGTCATGCTCAGGCCCAGCCTGCCCGCACGGAGCGCTGCTTTAAAACTGACCGAGCGGTACAGTCACCACCGGCTCCCTCCATTCCCAGTGATGTCCACACAATCAAGACCAAAAAAAAAAACAGGCGCACACCTCGGCCCTCATTCTCATTGGGACGATGACTCATGCTGACTCTCAGCCGCCACTTCCTCCCCCTGCATTCTCTTCATACTTGCGAGCTGGGCTGGTCCAGTTCCCAGGGTCTCTGCCGCCCTTCCGGAAAGAGCAGCCTTCCTGACCCAGGCAGAGAGGTCCCAGGGCTGCTCCCACGGTCCTAACCCCCGGGATCGCCTACCCTGGGAAATGCTTTATTTAGGCGACTTGGGAACCACCGAGAAATGAGATGCATGATCCTACATGCATTTGAATGTCAAGTACAGGCTGAAATTGTGCAGGGCGCTGCGAAAGTTCCGGGGAAGGGAAAAGAATGAGAAATGGGCTCGTTACTCTTTAAGGCGCTTGGGTTTGCTGTGCCCTGCTAACACCCATTTCCGGGCTGCTTTCTTCCTCCCCATCCCCTGATATCACAAGTCCCAGCGTTCGGCACCAGCACCTCTGCAGAGCTGCTGACCAGGGCTGCTGTGCGGTCCTCGACTCTGGAGACCTGTCTCTTGTCTGCATCCGACAGATTTCCAAGACTGAGCTGGACTAGCTCAGCCCAGTCCCCGGGGTGAGACGCTCTGGCTTGGCACTCGCGCTTCTGAAACGGTTGACACGTGTTTCTGTGCAGGCGCGGAGGTGGCCGCCTGCCTCCAGTTTTCTTTTGAATGATGCGGAGGGCGGGGCAGTCTCCCCACTGGGCATTTTTTGAATTATGAAAAGCAGTGGGGAGAGCAGACTCCATGTGTCACCCAGCAGGTCTGTGGAGCCTCCCAGGGCAGAGCCACATCTGTGTGGCCGACTGGGCCTGGAGGGCCCCCGCCCCCGCCCCACCGAGAGCGGGACGGATCTCAGGGGGAGTCCTGCTTCCCTATTCTCTATCTCAGATCTTTCACCAGCGAAATCAGGGCATCTTCCCGTTGGGCAATACCAAGTGTTTGCTTTCCCTATAAAAGTCGGCCACTTGGTCAAACCTGAGTCCTTGCAGTTTCGTTTTGGGGTTATTTTTTTCCCAGGAAGGCGCAAAGCCTGCTGCTTTGCTGGAGTTTAGGAACATCTTTGTCTGCAGAGTGTTTTGGATTTTTTTTTTTAATTGTTTGTCGTGGTTCTGGGACTGAACCCAGGGGGCTTAACAGCTGACCTGCATCCCCAGGCTTTTTATTTTTTTATTTTGAGACAGGGTCTCCCTAAGTTTCTTAGGGCCTCACAAAGTTGCTGAGGCTAGCTCTGAACTTGAGATCCTCCTGCCTCAGGCTCCAGAGCCGCTGGGATGACAGGTGTGCACCACGGTGCCCGGCTGCAGTGTGTATTGTTTGGGGCGAGAGGCAGCGTCTCACCTCTGTCCTCCACGGGGACAGATCTCAGGCGGCGGAAGTGCAGTGACCCCCAGAAATCTTCATGCCGTCCTGTCTGTCCTGTGTGGGGAAGGCCAGCCTTGACCTTGTGCATGAAGTCGCTCCTTGGCCAACTCAAGAGTCCCTGTGAGAACAGAAATAAACAAACAAATAAATATGAAAAGCAACAGCAGGAAGGAATGCAAGAAACCAAAGTCATTTAGAAACACGGCCATGCCCCCTTTGCTGCTCTGGAGTGGTTCCCTCCACGGCAATGTGTTACCATGGGGCTTCTGGAAGGTTCCAGGGCAGGGCCTCAGCCCCATACCCAGGCTTTCTCCCAGAGGGAATTTGGTGGTGAGGAGGAAGGGGTGAGGCCAGACGGCTTGAGGAGAGCACTTGGCTTTGACGAGGGAGCGTGCAGGTGGGTTTTCCTCCAAAGCCTCCAGGAGCGAGCCCCGGCCTCCATACCTCCACTTTGGTCTGCGAGACCCTGAGCCGACAGCCTGCTTTCTGACTGATGGAACTGAGAGCCTACAGATGAAGGCTGTCTAAGTCACTCTGTCACACAGCATGAGAAGAACACACTTGGCTGGGCGCAGTGGCACACACCTGTCATCCCAGCAGTTAGAGAGGCTGAGGCAGGAGGATCTTGAGTTCAAGGCCAGCCTCAACAACTTAGTGAGGTTCTAAGCAACTCAGGGAGACCCTGCCTGTAAATAAAAATATAAAAAGGGATGGGATGTGGCTCAGTGGTTAAGTGCCCAAGATTCAAGACTTCAACGGCCTTGAAAAGAATTCACTCCTGCCGTGGCCACAGGGGGCTGTGGAATCCCCTCAGGCGGGAGCCTGACAGACTACGTTAATCTCTAGCGACCCTTCATGGGAACCGCGGGTTCGGTGTGTAAGAGGCCTCTGGCCAAGGGCCCAAGAGGAAGTCTCCAGGCTGGCGCTCGGCCCTGCACGGTCCCCCTCTGCCCACCCAGCCTCCCCAGTGAGGCCGCCTCCTCTGCATTCCTCAAAGGATGTGCCCACCCCCGCCCCACCCCCCTCCCCAGCTCGGCCACCAGCTCTGAGTGCCCCCCACACACACTTGGGTGAGGACACACAGCCTCGGATCTGATGACCCACTCCAGCTGTCACATCCGCAGGGCGACTTGGGTCCGGGCAGGATTTAAGGGTTCGTCCTGGGGTCATGAGGAAGGGCCTGAGCCTCTGCTTCCCAGGCAGAGGTAGAGGAGGCCCCTGGTCATGGGGGTCCCCAGCACAGCACGGGTGGGGGGTGGATAAGCCGGGGAGGGGGCTGGGCCCCGCAGGCCACGCCCGACACTGTGGTCATCTTGTCTCCTGTCCAGGAACAGTGCACATGGCCACCTGCCATACGCCAGGGTTCTCAGTTAAGAAAGGGGAGACGGGATACCAGGCAGAACAGGCAGCTCCTCAGGACCCGACGGCCAGGCCTGGCCACCTGTGATCTTCCATGGGATTGGACGCTGGGAAAGGGAAGACCCCCGTTCCTTGTGGGCACAGGTGGAGGGACACCGCCCTCCACAGGGAGGACACAATCAGCACGCAGGGCAGACAGAGCCAGCAGAGGGACAGCGCTCCCTCTAGGAAGGAGGCATCACCAGGGGAACCAGGCGCCCTCGGCTGAGGCTGTGGGGCGTGGGTGGGGGGTGACTGCCATAAAGACCGCAGTCTGTAGTGATGGATGGCCAGCTTCTGTCATTACCAGTCCGCGGGTGACATCGGGGACCCCTCTGGTGGATCCTGCCTCCTCACAGAGCCCCCGCAACCCCTCCGTCCAGGCTGACCCTTGTATGGTCTCAGACGGAAAACACTGGTCATGTCCTCGTGCCCACACCTGGTCCCCTGTCACCTCTTGGGGGCCTTCCTCAGCCCCCCTCCCCCTGTGCTCTGTGAGCTCCTTGCCATCCCTCTGCAATCCACCACCCCTCCCACCAGACTGAAAGGACCTGGGGGGAAAATCCCCTCCCACCCACATACCCTCCCACATGTGACCTTTCACGTTTGTCCCTGGATGGAAGAACCAACAACCAGCAGCCGGAGCTTCGGTGTGTGGCAAACGTCATCCAAACAGGTGTCTTCTGAACCCCCTCCATCTGCACCGCCCTCGAGAGAAGGAGAGAGGCTAGAGGTACTCCCAGAGTACCAACCGCCATTGCGGACACACAGCAAGACCTCACGACCAGCCCTGGCCGCTCAAGTTGGATCGTTTTTCTCTGCGCAGTGACCCTGAGAGGCCCGTCCCTGCCAGCTCCTGGCCCGTGTGGTGTGGCATGTTGGGTGGGTGTGGTTTTTCTTGGTGGCACTGTTCTGTGACCAGTGCTACTCGGAAGTCGAGGACTTGTAATCGGTTCTGAAATCCAGGGCCTCATGAAGTCAGAAAAGTGGCCAGGAGTGAATCCCAAACAGCAAGGGGCGTCCGAGTGGCTCAGACAGAGACCCACGGCGAGGCCAGGCCCGTGCTGTGTTCCAGCAGGGATCGAGGTGGCCACCGTCCAGTCCCATGGGAGCAAGTCAAGGGCCACAGTGGAGGGCGGGGCCGAGCAGGCCTGAGCAGGGCAGCGCGTGGGGCTGATGGGAAGCTGCGGGTTGAACCGGGTGTCAGAGGCCAGACCCAGGAGAGGCGCAGCCTTCATCCCCGCTGGGCGGAGCTGGGCCCCGGAGCTGGGCCTGGGGAGAGCAGGGGACCTGGAGGACTGCTGGGCTTGACCACCCTCCTCCTCCCTGTGCTCCTCCAAAGGGGCCGGTCAGGGTGGAGGGACAGCGGCCGGGTTGCCCGCGCTGGGGAGGCCAGAGGGAGCCCCTCCTGATGGACGCGTGTTTCCTTTGGGGCAATGGAAGGTCTTAGAGCCACACAGAGGTCGTGGTTTTACGCTGTGGTCACATAAATGCTGTGGAATTGCTCATTTCCACGTGGCCAAGTGCCTGCCGCGTGGACTCCACCTCGGTCTTTAAAGACATGGGATGGTTTAGCGGTGGGCGCCCACCCCCGGCCTTCCCGCCCAAAAGAGCTTGCAGCTCCCGGGTGGGCCTGCGTCACCAACAGACAATGGCCCTGGTGTTGTCCCCAGGGGGTCTCAGCAGGCACCAGCCAAGGCCTGGATGTCTGGGGCTCCCTGCTGGTCCGGGCTTGAGGGTCCCGCTTCCCCTCTGGGAGGGGCCGCTGTCCCCGCCTGTCCCTGCCCCACAGCAGGGTCTTGGCTGTGCAGAAGCCAATGCGTCCTGCTCTGCTACCTGCGGATGGGCCTCCAGGTCCAAGAAGGCCACACAGGACCCTGCTGAGACTGCCCCGGGCCCCACGAAGACCAGAGCACCCCACAGAAGGCTGGTTGCCTAACCCACATCTCTGGTCCCCTTTGTCCCTAATAATTGAGCCCCTGGTTTGGGGGCCAGACAGAATGAGCCTTCCTAGAGCAATCACCCTGCTGATTCCTCGCAGCTGGACATGGCCACCCGCCGAAGGAACCGGCTGAGGGAACGCTGGCTGCTGCCCGCTAGTCCTGTCCCCCGCCCCTGGTTCCCTGCACCCGGAGGGTCAAAGGTCTTGGGCTGGGCTTTGTGGTCACGGGTTTCTGTTCAAGGCAACCAGCCCTGGAGGTCACTGGTGTAATGACTCCTTCCTAGTCAACCCCAGGTCCCAGACTGAGAAGCCACCATGCGGTCTGGGGTTGGGTGGATGCCCTTGTCCTCTCAGATCTCTCAGGATTGATCAGGACATGAACCGTCTCTAGCAGAACAATCCCACGTGTTCCCGCAGGAAAACTTGCCGAGTGCCAGGGGAAGGATCGCCGTGAGCCTGCAGGCCACCCCTCCTGGCCTGTGCAGCGTCTGGGCGGACTTACAGGGTCGTGAGGGAAACAGCCTTGCCCTCCATCCCCCCATCCACTATGTGCCTGGAGGGCGACCGCAGAGCACCCTCATTTCACCAAGGATAGGTTTAGCACGCTCTAAAGAGGAAGTCCTTCTGTGACGCTGTCATGAAACTTCTGCTCTATTCTCAGGTCATTTTTGATATTCTCATTTTGTAGGCGAGGTCATCCACAGACGGCCCAGGGACACGGCTGCCACGGGCTTCTGCTTAACATTTGCCTGGTCTCCTCCTCCACTTGCTCCTCCTCCTCCTACTCATGCTCCTCCTCCTCCCTGTGCTCCTCCTCCTCCATGTGCTCCTCCTCCTCCACGTGCTCCTCCTCCTCCCTGTGCTCCTCCTCCTCCACGTGCTCCTCCTCCTCCACGTGCTCCTCCTCTCCATGCTCCTCCTCCTCCCTG